TTGTGCTTGTTGTTTTAATGATAATATGTTATGGAGTAGTTCTATTTTTGTCAAGTCTGTTTGGTGTCCTGGAGGCTTCCTGTACCTCAATGGGAATAGTTTTCTCTAGATTTGGCAAATTTTCTGAGGTTTTGAAAGACAGAAAACAGCAGCTTAAAATATTCTGTATGCCAGGCCAAATAGTTCCATGAGACCCTTTCTCAAAAACCCTTTCACATAAATAGGGCTGATGGAGTGTCTCAATATAAAGAACATGAGTAAAGTCCCAGTTCTGCAAAACAAACAAAAAATATGCTGCACATTTTATTCATTTTTTTAATCCATGGGTGTCTTTTTTTACTCTTTTCTTGTGTTTCTGATTTTGTTTGTTTTATAAAATTTGTTTGTGTTTTATTGTGATGAGGATTTAACCCACAGCCTAGGTGCAAGTTAGGTCACCTTCTCCCACCAATTTTCACCTCAGCTTGGACAAATTTTAAAGTGTAACCCTGTTCTGACTCAGGCCTCCCAGGGCCTTCTGTCCCAGGTCTTAGTGCTCCTAGGAGAAAGACTGGCATGTGGGAATTTCACAGTCAGAGCTTGCCATAAGCTTAGTATTTCCACCTTAAGAGTCACCATTTTCCAGATGCTGTGTCCTCATGCTCCTTGGTGTCCACAACCACTTACTCAAGGATTGGAAAAGGGAAATGAATGGTTCCATTTTCTCCATTATCCTCTATCCTTGTCAGACAGGGTACATGGAAATGACAACGTGGAGAGGCAGGTCATGTACAATTTCCTTTGCCTTGGTTTACACCCAGAAACCTTAGAACAAAATTATGAGTGAGCTTTTTGGCTTCTTGTGCAGTCCTCCCAGGTGACCCAGACCTCAGAGGAGCACTGGGTCGAAATGGATGTGTTATTGATGCACTTGTGTCCAGGTTGGTGCTATTGAGATGCTCACCATGCCACCTGCAATCACACGGTGGTGGCTTTTTGGGCATCTGGTACTGGTGAAAGTGGGATGAACATGTCTCTTCCACCATTGTCAAAATAGTGAGTTCTCGGGCCCTGAGTTGAGAGTATGCTGGTGAGAAGAGGTTTCCCAGCCTTGTTCTGAAAGGATGTCTCTTCCTGGATGTCTCCCAGTATTCTTTTCCCTGCAGATCCATCAGAATGTGCACCAAGGCCCCACTCACACTCCAGGAGCTGTCAATGTGTATCCTGCAAAAGAAACAGATCTTGGCTATTTCTTTTGTATACAACCTGCCACTGTGGCTTTTCCTTCAGCTCTTCAATTAGGACTTTGCCTCCAAAAGCACTGAGATCCTTAAGGACATGGTGCATGCCTGTCCTTTCCCCCATCTCCCTCTGGGGGCCCTGATGAAGACATGAGACTTGGGGAGCTTACAGATTGCCCTGGATGGGATTGTTTTGCTGCTTACCCAGCATGTTTGCCCCAGGTGAGGGAAACACAGGGGGCATAGGAATGAGGTCCCTGAAATCAAAGGAATAGTTAGCTGGAGTCAGGGAGAGCAGGAGGCAAAGAGTGGACCATAGGTTTCTGATAGTTCAAGCCAGGGGCCTGAGATATCTGTAAAAGGTCTTCCTGATGTGTACTACTACTTAGTCAGAAGCAGCCTCTATGTGCACACAAACAGAGATGCTAGGAAGTGGGGACTTAGTTGGTTCAATGGACAGGAGGTGGATGAAAGGAAGACAGAGAATCTGAGAAGCAGCAGATTGTCAGAATGAATAATAAAAGCTCAGGCTGGAAGTGGGTCTTGGCCTGTTTTCTGAATGGGTCCTTGTTTTGTTTCCCCCTCAAAAGGTGCAAATTGCAGGTTTTGGATTTGAGGAACAAGAAGCAGGACATCTGGTCCCTGGGCTAAATGCCTGCTCCACAGAGGAACAGAGGACTTGACTGAGCAGAGAGCAGCAAATCATGGTGAAGGTATGGCAGTGAAGCAGCCCATGAGGCTGTTTGTAGACATCTGCATCCATGATGTATTCTACCCAGATGAATTTCAAGTCAACCTCCTGCAGTGTGCCCAGAAGAGAAAATATTTCTTCCAGCTGTGCTGTATAAATCTGTGTACTGGGAGAGGCTCCATCTACAAAATGCAGAAGGTTCTGCATGTCATGCTGCTGGAACACATCCAGGAACTGCAGGTGGATCATTTCTGGCACTGGGAGACCATGAGAAGATTTGTTTGTTACCTAGGCAGAATGAGTAATCTTCAAGTATGTTCATTCACCATGATGAGTATCTGATTCTATACCTCCCACCCCCAAAACAAGTGGTTTTCTTTCATTTGCAAAAGCTGCCAAACCTCCAAGAGTTGTATCTGTAGGATGTCTTATTCCTATATGGAAAACTGCACAAGATACTCAGGTGACTGTGGATGGAAAGCTATTTATGCTCCCAGACCAGACCAAAGCCATTCTCTGTTACAGTAGATGTGAAAGGGCATTTCTTGGGTGCCAAGGGCTGGCCACGGGACAGTGAGAGAGGCTCCAGAAAGGAAATGAATTGACTGGTCCAGTGTCTCATCTTAAATCCTGACCTACACAACTACCCTTAAGGTGCATCTGGCTAAACTGGGGTTGGTGGTCTGTTAAAAGTCCCCATAAGACCAAGACAGATGTGGGGGTCAGACCCAAGATGAGTGGACTGTGAATTCTGCTTAGCAGGTATGCCTAAGCTCAGGTGGTAGAACTAGGAAGAAGAGGGCACTGGAGGAGGGAGGCACCCTCACCTGCACAGCTCCACATGGAACTCTGAGCTCACTGTTGTAAAAGGAGACCAGGCTTCTCTGGAATTTGGTTTGGAGCCCAGATAGGAGATGGGATAGTGGGTGTGTGTTTCTCTGACGTTGAGGGTAAGAAGTAGGTGTGAGTAGTTGTGAACAGTGAAACATGCTTTGAAGGTGACACAGTGGGTGAGTCAGCCTCAGGTGGGAACCCTAGTGAGGAGTAAAGGGTGCTATAGTCATGGCAGCTGAGCCAGTTCCACTGTGACCATGAAAGTCTTAGCTAGAATGGGGTGACTGAATGAACAGAGGCTTCAGCACACAGCCTCCAGAAGTCTGACCTTCATCAAATGATCAGAATAACCTTTGCTCACAAGTTCTCCCTGTAGATCATTTTGAAGTGGCTGCATCACCACAACTGCTATTCACTAGAATTAACTATTCTTTCTTCTCAGGAATCCAACACCCTTGGAGATCATCTCTTTGAGGTTAAGCCTGATATAACTGTCAGACTTAAGGTATCTGTCCCAGTGTCCCAGCACCAGCCAGACCAGGCAGCTCAAGTACCTGCATCTATAGGACTGCTCCTTGAAGGACTTGAGTCCAGAGCCCCTCTGAGCACTGAAGAACCTGCTCTTAGAAGAGTGTGAGATCACTGACTCCCAGCTCCATGCAATCCTGCCTGCCCTGAGCTGCTGCTCTCAGCTCACCACATTCAGTTGGGAACTGCACTTCCATGGCTGCCTGGAGAACCTGCTGAGCCAGTTAAGTCAATCACTGTATCATGCCCCTTTGGAGAGCTTTGACCCTGAAAGGGATCATATGGACCATGAGAGATTTGCCCACATTTGAGTGAAGTTGGGGCAGGTACTGAGGACATAAGACCACCCCATAAGTTCCAGATTGGAATCTTTGTGTGTGTCCATTTTAAAAGGTGCCAGTTTTCTAGCCTGGAGCCCAATGGCACCTGGGTAGACACAGAGGATTGTCACCATTCCTCTGTCTTTACTTGTTCTTTTTGTCAGTGAACTCATTGAATAGACTGAGGAAAGGGGGAAGGGGTAAAATTTGCTTCAATTAAACTTACCTATAAATTTATTATAAAGATCAAACTCAGTGCCTGTTGACTGGTAGACAGAAGCTCTGCTGCTGAGCTCCATCTTAGCACTCAGACTTTGTATTTTAAAACCAAAGTGCCATGCAAACTGTCATCCTGCCTTCACCCCAGTCTTCTCAAGACTACTTATCAAGGAAAACAAAATTTTTGTTTAGTCATGTGAACAGAACATTAATTTGACTCATTTATCAGAAATAGAATTTGAATCCTACTATTCTTTTAAAAAAGTAGTTTTATATAAACCTTCCTAATTACATTTTTATGTGAAATCTTTAGATCTTCATTTTATTTATGCATATGTTCTTGTGTCTCTATAAGTGGACTCAAGAAATAAATTAAAAGGCTGTGGAGTCGCACAGGAAATTAATGTGAGTCAACTCCCTGTATAGCTATTCTTATCTCAACCAGCAAAAACCCTTGTTCCTTCCTATTATTGCTCATACTCTCTCTACAACAAAATTGGAAATAAGGGCAAAATAGTTTCTGCTGGGTATTGAAGGGGTAGGGGGGAGAGGGAGTGGGCAGAGTGGGTGGTAAGGGAGGGGGTGGGGGCAAGGGGGAGAGAAATGACCCAAGCCTTGTATGCACATATGAATAATAAAATAATAATAAAAAAAGAAGACAGGAAAAAAAAAAGGCTGTGGAGTGGGAAGGCCCTGGTAGGGATAAAGGAGGAAGAGATGCAGTGCTTCCAGGGGGAAGCTACAAAACCAGGTCTCAGTCCAGTTCTATCTGAACTCTACTGCTGTAGTGGCTCCAGCTTCTGCTCCATGTCCCCTTCTTGGGATGCTCCAATGTGCCCCACAGCCTCCATTCCCCCAGCAATTCCAGATCCTGAGCCCTTCTTTGGCAGGCTGGACAACAGGATTTGCTCTAGCTATAAATCCAAACCACCAAAAAGAGAGGGAAAGGAAGGAAGAGAGGAGCCCTTCCTTAAATCCACCCAAGTGCAATTGGGCAACCTTCCTGGTAACATGACAGACGATCACATCATGGAGACACTTCCATCTCTGGGAAAATGAAAATGATTCATATGCCTGCAGAAAGGATGCTGCCTCATTATGGAAAGGCATGGCCTATGTGAATTTGAGAATGCAAATGAGGAGAACGTGCTGAGGCCCATAACTGGGAACAAGGCCATGGCCAGGAAGTCACTGCTCCTGCATACTGTCCAATTTGTAGGCTTCCCCATCAGCAATGCATCCCTCCCAGTAGAGTGCTGACATCATGTCCCATATGACACCAGTCACCCCCATGAATGGGGACAATGTCACATTCTCATAGGCATTGGTCTCAGATCTTTCCTGACCACTGCCACAGGAGCTTACCCAGATCCAGCTGGTCCTGATAAGTAGGGCCAAGGAAGCTTACCTGATTACTTTCTTGTTACCCAGCTCAGTGCTCTCATGTCTTGGGCCAGAGGAAGATTAGGAGCAGAGCCCCCATTCATGCAGGCTTGGAAGGCATCAGGTTGGCAGTCCCTCTGCATGCTGGTTCTCACTGCAAAAGTGCCCTAGCTTCAGACTAGAAAGCTGACCCCATGCTTGTACCTGAGGGGCAGAGACAAGCAAACCCCCAGGTGACCATGGGCCTAGCCTTGCCTGATACCACCTAGAGCTAGTTTGTCACCTGGCAAAGCCAACAGAAGATAACCAAGCTATTGATCCTTTAGGGCTGGCCTTCTGTACCCTGCTTGAGCTCTCTTCCAATCTTTAAGGTCAAGCTGCATGGAATCCAGCTCCTGATGTTAGTGGGCACAGGTAGTTTTCTTTCTATAACCTCACCCACCCAACCCATGTCCCCTTAAGTCTGAAATAGGGGAGAGAAGTGAGCCCAGCTCTGTAGGGGCATGAGCCCCTCACTTACAACATCCAACATGCCATTCATGGGAGTCTTGCGCATTACCTTGACAACAGTTACATGGCTTTTTATGTAAATGAGTTCTATAAAATTTGTTTTGAAATTTGTATATTTATAGAATTTTAAATATGTTGTGTTTGAAGTTTATTATAGAGAACAAAAGAATTATATTGAATAAGCATAAGATAGAATACAAAAGACCCACATCTATAAAGATATATTTTTACTACTACTTTTAATTTTCTTTGGCAGTGGTCATGTTTGTTCTTTGAGATAGTGCAAAATGAACTCATCTCTACATTCATCTCCTGATCCATGGGTGTTTTGTTTAAAGGCAGCACTGGGATTTGAACTCCAGGCCTTGTGCTTGGTAGGCAGTCACTCTACCACTTGACCAATGTTCCCAGCCCCTTATATTTGTTTTTCATAAAGAAATGGGTTTCTCTCTCTCTGTCTCTCTTTCTCTCTCTTTCTTTGAGGCACTATCTCCCATGAGCCCTGTGGGATGAACTGAAACTTCCAATCCTCTCCCCTCTACGTCCCTCCTATTGGGAATAGAGGTTTGTGCCACCAGGCCTTGTGTCTATGGTGGGTTTTTTTCTTTTTGCAGTTCTCAGGACTTATACTTTTAGTCACATCCACCAGCCCATTTTTGTGATGGGTTTTTTCAAGATAGGGCCTCACAAACTACTTTCCTGGGAAGTTTTTGAGCTGTGATTCTCCTGATATCTGCTTCCTGAGCAACTAAGATTAAGGCATGAGCCACTGTGTCATCCCCACAATAAACCCACCTCCTAGTGTAGAACATTAAGTAATCGGTCACTTGTTGGTCTCACTATATCTTCAAATAGGATTAAAATGAGGGAGCACTCCATTTTCAGATAATTGTATCATTCATCTTAGTACAATCTTAATTATTTAATGCTCATTTAAGATCTCTGTATACTTGTTGTGCATCATTTTCTGTGATTCCAAACATAGCATTTAGGCCTGGCTTAGCAAGATACTCCTGCAATCTCAGCACTTAGGAGGAAGAGACAGGAGGATAGAGTTCAACGACAATTTGAGGTACACAGGAAACCTTGTCTAAAAGAACAAGGCACACACCAATGGTTAAGAAATGCTTTTTAATATCAATTATCTTTATTTTCTATTTTTATGTTTTGGCAGTAGTAGGCTTTGAACTCAGCTCTGTCATACTTATAGGCAGGCACTCTGCCACATGAGCCATTCAGCCTATTCTATTTTTTCTACATAGGTTCTCAAACTATATGCAGGGACTGTCTTTAAACCATGATCCTCTGGATTTCTGGCTCCAGTGAAGAGCAGCTAGGATTACATGGGTGACTCATCAATGCTCATTGATTATAGAGCTCATGCAACAAGAACTGAGTGCAGTATAATGAGTATTGGCCTGTTGCTGGGTTGCAGAGAGAGTGAGCAAATATATGCCCCTCGCCTTTCCCATCATACACTGCAGGAAGGAATCTACAGCTTAAAAGTGAAATGAGTTCACCTGACATTGTTTGGTGGGTTTTATCCTGCTGTGCTTTTTAGAAATGGGGCAGGGCCCTGCAGAGTACTAATGAGCTGTGGTCAGTGTTGAGAAGCCTGTGGGGAGGGCCAGTATCCAGGCACATAGAGAACTTATGAATATTTTGAGATAATTTTTCACATGGATTATCTGTTGATTCACATAAAGTTAGGTTCTCTACTGCTGGGTACCTTTATTCACTTACTATTTATTTATTATTCATTTATCTACTTGAGAGGTCTCAGGATGATGCCCAAACTAACCTCCAAGGTTTTGGTAAACAGAAATATCCCTATAACCTTCCAAATAGTGTGCACCACTGCACCCTGTCAAGCTATTTTAAGTGTCTTTTACCATTGGTGAGTGGTTGAGTGATGTATAAAAAAAGATTTCAAAGGGCTAAAATAACTACTCCTTAAATACAAAAGTCTAGTATCTTCTGAGGACAGTAATGGGAGAGTAAAGAGTGTGTTTCTCACTTTTTGAATCAGATGCACATGGACCATACATACTGCCCTTTGGGAAGGGGTGATCAAATGCATTCTCTCTCCCTCTCCCCCTTCATTTCTCATCAGGTAACAGAGAAGGATCAATTTGTTTCAGTTACTTTCATTTAGTTCTTTTTCTGAATCACACAAAACATTTTAAACCAATAGAAAATCTATGAATAATGGAATAGTTTCATAGGTTATCTACAGAAAAGAAATTTTCTGAACTATCTGAAACTGTGAGCTTCCAAATTAAACACTTATTTTTGAAAATTGCAAAAAAATTTGTATTTCTAAAGCCTTCACACTTTTCTTAACCAACTTACATTTACACATTTTGAGTATTTCTTTTAACTGATATTAGGAAAAGGATTCTAGTGATAAACTTTTCCCTCTGTTCACAATTCTGATCCAAAATGGGAACCATCAAAAAAAGGCAGCAGTAGACATTATTATTCATACATCCTATAATCACTTATCTAGGAAATGTGTATTGCAAGTCTTCTCTTTGATAGATGCCATGCTTGATCTATGAACATAATGAGTCTCACTTTTTGTCCTTCCTATAGGCAGGTATGTTCCTAAGCATATTTTACTACGGTTAGTTTAATGAATCTTCACAACAACCCTTTGGCATTGGTAAAATTTTAGAAATAGAAGGGTAAAGACAGAGAGCGTTCAGTAAATAATTAGGAAATAAGCACAGAAGGGTAAAATAACTTGTCCAGTGCTATGAGATTTAGGAGTCTAAACTCAATTTTCAGTGCACTATTCATGGGGCAAAGTGATACTATGGCTAATAATTCCAGTACTGACTGCAAAGATTGTAATACATTTTTGTTCTCTCCATTGTGTCTGACTCACCAGCTATAAACTAACATTTCCTAAAAGTTCAGTATTATAAACAATCTTTTCCATTTTGCTTATGTAATTATTTTTCTCTAATGTAAGATTACAGAAATTATGAGTGGTTCTCATACTTATGGAACCTTTTGGTGTGATGCCTCTGTGTGTATGTGTTCATGAATGTAAAGAAGGAAACAATTATCTGAGCATACACATGTGTACAAATATCTTCAACTAAAAAGCCTCCCATAATTACCCAAGATACTTTATTTATGATAGTGAGAAATCTCATTGTGTTTGGTTTTCATAACTTTGGTAAGTGTGGTGACAGTCTGTGGAATACAGACACTAACAGCAATCTTTGGTGTCAGAAGAGTCTGGCTATGAATCCCAGCTTTCTGATTAGCAAAGCTGCTTCTCCTCTCAGTGTCTATTTTCTCATTTTTTAAAGAAGGTTGGAATGTTTCTATGGTCATTATTTTGAGTCTGTGTTTTAAGTACAAAAAAGACTAGCTCATTTTCTGGAATAACCCTATGTCATTATGAATATCTGCTTATAACTTTGTATTCCTTGGGTTGAAGTCCACCTTGCACAGAGTTTTTGAGCTGACATTTAATTGATGTGTATTTGTCTATATTTTGTTTGCAACCTTAAAAAAGATTTAATTATTTTCTTTTATATATAGTTAATTTTATTTTGCTGCCTAACAGTAACAACAAATTTAGCAACTTAAACAATGTACACATATTATCTAATGCCTTGTGTGGTTCACAGGCTGGAGTTGGCTAGTTGGTTTTCTTTGCCTGAGTTTCCATAGACTGCTCTGAAGATTTTGACTTCTTTGTGTCTGAGGGCCCCAAATTACTCATGGTTGTCATCTGAAGGCTCTTATAAGGTCCTTGAGGTCACTTACAAAATTCCTCAATGCTCACCAATGTTGATCACTGTTTTGGCTTTTCCAACAGGTTTTCTTAAGACATCAAGCCATCAATAAGGTCTCTAGCAGTGGTGGAGTGTCTCAAGTGCTAGAGCACCTGCCTAGCAAGCTCTGAGGCCCTGAGTTCAAACTCCAGTACTACCGCACAATCAAAAAATCCAAAGGAGGTCTCTAGAGTGGTCTGATCAATGATGAGCATTTGCCTAATGAATTGCGATGTCATTAGGGAGTGACGTCCCTCCATCACCTCTGTAATAAGCTAATTGTTAACAGTAATACATAGCTTCTAACCACACTCAGAGGTGCAACACAGAAAATGCAGAATTATACAAAGTCATAAAGGTAAGAAGACCAGAAAATCATGTTGTTCTATAATGATCATTTTTGTTAAATCTGCTTTGATTATCACAAGTGTTAATAAGATTATTTTGTCCATTTATCTTTACTAATTCCTTTATCTAGAAAGTAGTATTTTATTTTTCTGATTTAAATTTGTTTCTAGGCTGTACACTTTTTTCATTTTTTTCTTGCTTCTTTCAAATTGTTTTACTTTTAAATTATAATTTTCACATTTTTATTTTATCAATTATACATTATTTTATCAGTCTTATAGTAGATATTGTATATAACAAGCATACTTGACACATGAAAGTCTAAAATGAATTACTACTTTATTAT